TGAAGCAACGTCCTCCACAACTAGACTGAAGAACAAAACGACAGCAACTTGTCTGTTCCCCTTCCCCCAATTCCCCAGCACTGTTCCCATCCCTCCAATTCCCCAATAAAAATCTTTAAAAAAAAAAATTCAGGTTTGTATTTTAATTATCTTTCATACTTTTTTTTTGCATTTATTCATTTCTATTCTATTTTACAGATATTTCATTATAAATTGGAAACTTTTTAATTTTAAAATGAGAATTAAAAAAAAGTACGAGCTCTGAGCAACAGAGTCGCCGGTTCAATTCCCAAATGGGCCAGTGAGCTTTGCCCAAGCTGAGCTGCCCCTGTGCTGCCACTCAAATGGTGAGAGGATGTGCTGCTCCTAAGTACAAGGTTGCCTTTTGAACTCTCGCATGGGATGCTGGGCTACGCCCACCTGGGACTAAGATTGAACACGGGCACCTTGAGCTGAGCAGCAGCTGACAGGTGGCCAGATGGCGACTGGACTCGGAGCTGAGCTAGCTGTGCCCTCCACAATTAAGACTTAAGGAAAGTGACTTGGTTGTTGCCCTTCCCCAATTCCCCAATAAAATCTTTAAAAAAAAAAAAAAAGCTGCATCTGGCCATCCTGCTCCCTGGTGGGTCTGTGACAGGCCAAGCCTCTCACCCCTGGAGACAGCCTCTTCCTAAGATGACTATTGGCCTCTTCTTTTTTTTGTTTAAAGATTTTTATTGGGGAATTGGGGGAAGGGGAACAGACAAGTTGCTGTAGTTTTGTTCTTCAGTCTAGTTGTGGAAGACGTTGCTTCACTGGCCCAAGTTGGCACCATCATTATGCTCTTCCCGGGTGAGGCAGATCAGTCCCCGGCTTCTGGACAGCCGCTCACTGCGGCTGCTGGCCGCTCACGCTGGCTGCTGGCTACATATGGTAGCCCATGGCAACCCACTGCCACAGGGGCTGCAAGCCTACGCTGTCGCTGGCGACTCTCAGCCCAGCTTCAGGTTGAGCTGTTGTTCAGCATCTTAGCTGTAGAGGGCAGTGTCACTGGCCCTCATATGTGGGATCCGAACCGGGGTCCTCTGGCGTCCCAAGCCAGCTCTTAACCATCGGGCCATTCAGCCGGCCCAATGGCCTCTTATATAGTACTTTCTTGTCCCAGCACTTACACTTTCAAGCTGCTGGTTTTGGGGGGAGGGGCCTCTTTGAATCTTCCCCCAACGCACACACCTGCTTGGCGGGGCTCCGCCCTTCTTGCTCCTCATCTGGGGGATATCTAGGATGCTGCCTGAGCCTGGATGGGATTCGCAGGTGACCTTGTCTGCCGGTCTCTACTTTTAGTACGTTCGCCCCGCGGGGGTCTCAGTATCCCGAGATGGATCTTGCGGGTACTGGAGGATCGTATCATGTAATTTCCAGTGCGGGTGAGGGCGGTGGACGCTCCTAGAACAGCACCCGGAGCACCTGGAGAGGGTGGGGCGCGGGGAGCCAGGCCCCGCCCCCCGCGCTGCACTTCCGCCGGGAGGCTCTAGGGACAGCATGGAGTCCCGCCCGACGCTGCGCGTTCTTTCCGTCTGGCTCCGGACCGGAACCTGCTCCTAGGAGCAGGAAGCGCCTGGTGGCTGGCGCGGGGCTGCCGGGATGGCGGGTCCCGGCTGGGGCCCCCCGCGGCTAGACGGCTTCATCCTCACCGAGCGCCTGGGCAGTGGCACGTACGCCACAGTGTACAAGGCCTACGCCAAGGTGGGTGCGGGGCGAGGCCGGAATCGGGGCACGAGAACTTCGGACGGCCTGGCCCGGTGCCCGCCAGACCCCGAGAGAGCTGGGGCGGGAAACTATGGGTGGTTAGAGACAGCGTGAGAGCAGTTTGGTGCACGCGGCCTGCCACGTCCCGATCTGACCTTGAGTGGGCAAGGTGGGAGCTGACTGCCACCTTTAGGTCTTAAAAACAACAACACGTTCACACACCCGTTTCGTTCACACACCCGTTTCGTCTGGCTGGTGAAGACCTGGGTGGAGCCTCGTGTCGGGGGCTGAAGACGAGGCTCAAAACCAGGAGGATACCTGGTGGGCTGGGAGGAGTCTGGGACAGGGTTCTGGAAGGTGGACCCACTTAGGAAGCAGAGTGGGCAGTTCTACAACACTGAATGGCATGCCTTAGCTGGGGCACCCAGAAGACAATGAAAGGGTTTATGGAGCAGAGGGCTGGAGAACCCCAGGCTGGGTGGGGAGGCCAAGATTCCAGAATCAGGGGCCTCACTGGCCTGAGAGGAGAATGTGAGAGGCCTGGATGCTGGTGTGAGTGGGCAGGCGGTGAGGGGAAAGGGGCAGAGGGAACCATAGCCTTTCTGGCCAGGCGTGGTCCCTGGCTCCCTCAAGAAAGAGCCCTCAAATCTCCTTTCCCCTCAGAAGGACACTCGAGAGGTGGTAGCTATAAAGTGCGTAGCCAAGAAGAGTCTGAACAAGGCATCCGTGGAAAACCTCCTGACAGAGATTGAAATCCTCAAGGGCATTCGACATCCCCACATCGTGCAGCTGAAAGACTTCCAGGTGCGGGCCTGGGGCGGGGACACCTTCCAAAGGGGGCTGCCGAAGGGACACTGTCTTCAAGTTGTCTGCTTGCTTCTAACCACAGTGGGACAGTGACAACATCTACCTCATCATGGAGTTCTGTGCAGGAGGTGACCTGTCTCGCTTCATCCACACCCGCCGGATTCTGCCTGAGAAGGTGGCTCGTGTCTTCATGCAGCAGTTGGGTAAAAGCCTCTGACCCCAGCCTGACCCTTCCCACGATCCCTACCCTCCCAGTGCATCCCTGCCCCGGGGCTTAGAGCGCCTGCTCTCTTAGCTGTTGCCTCCTTTCCCAGTTTGGAGTGCTAGGGCCCCATCTTTGCCTCGTGTCCATCCCTGGCTTAAGGATGCTCTGAAAGAGACAGAGGAAAGAGCCCCCGTTATGAGGAGTCCGGGTTTTCCACATGTGGATCATGACATAAGGACCCAATAGAACATTCCAATGGTAGTGCCCAGTGCGTTGCTAAGAGGAAGAGCAAGCGCCTAAAGGGTTGGGGCGTCCAGGGAGGCTTCTGGGAGGAGTGGAGACCTGTGAAGGGACCCAAAGGGGGAAAGAGGGCCCTTGAGGTGGGAGTGGGGGTCAAATTCTTAGAAGTGGGAGGAACCTGGTACTTATAGGTAAAGCATTCAGTAGACTAGCCAGGCTAGAACTGGGGTTCTACAGGCTTGAAGAAGCAGATGTGAGCTTGGGGAGGTGAGAGGCAGGTGGGAGATTGGCTCCTCTGGCCTATTTCTCTGCATGTGCCCTACTCCCCAGCTAGTGCCCTAAAGTTTCTGCATGAACGGAACATATCTCACCTGGATCTAAAGCCACAGAACATTTTGCTGAGCTCCTTGGAGAAGCCCCATCTTAAACTGGCAGGTATGAGTCTGGAACAGCACGGGTGAGGTTTGAAGAGAGGGCCTGGTTTTCTTGAAGCCCTCTAGTGAATCATCAAACAGCAATAGATTGGGAGATCCAGGGACCGGCCTCATCACCAAAAGTAGGACATTTCTTGGGCTACCTACAGTGGACTCCAGGAGTGCAATGATTGGGGTCAGGATCAAGACTCAGTATGTGACCAGGGCCAAGACTCAGTCTTTCACCAGGATTGGGGCTCAAACTGTGACAAAATCTACGGTAGTGGTGGAGGGTGTGAAGTGGCCCCTCATAGGATTTGGAGAAGAATTGACTTGAGGCTGGAGGCCAGAGAGCCTGGTATAACCTGAGCTTGGTGGGACAGTGAGGGTGGGCCGTTATCTTCATAGCTGATGTGAGCAGGGCGAGCACTCTGGAAAAAGGTGCTTGCGGGGGCTGTGTAGGATGGGTAGGATTTATGCCCCCAGAGGAAGATATAGGAGGGTGTTCCTGGTTAATAATAAGCAGAGGCCAGGAAATAGGATTGATCCTGGTGAGTCTAGAAGGTGGGGAGAAGCCCTGTGCTGGTGCTCAGCATGAGGCTTCAAAGGCCAAGAGCAGAAGCAGCTGGAATTTGAGCTCTGCTGCCTGGCCTCTTGCCTGTAGACTTTGGCTTCGCACAGCACATGTCCCCGTGGGATGAGAAGCATGTGCTCCGTGGCTCCCCTCTTTACATGGCCCCTGAGATGGTGTGTCAGCGGCAGTACGACGCCCGTGTGGACCTCTGGTCCGTGGGGGTCATCCTGTATGGTGAGAGCTCTTTCCCCTGCCCCCACCCTGAGTCCTACACTGTGTGTCCTCAGGCAAGGCCTTTCTGGCCACTCCTGAAGGGCTCTAGTGAGAAGGCTGACTCTACTGCTCTGAGGCCCCTGCTCTGAGGGATGTCAGGACTTCCCCAGGAGTGGGCCAGGCCAGACTGGACCCTGTCCCCTCCCAGCCTGCCCTCTGCCTCCCTCCACAGAAGCTCTCTTCGGGCAGCCCCCCTTTGCCTCCAGGTCGTTTACGGAGCTGGAAGAAAAGATCCGGAGTAACTGGGTTATCGAGGTGGGTCCTCCAGGGCCTCAGCAGCTCGTTGTGGGGCAGAGGGAGTAAGGGCCTTGGGGTTGGAGACTTCATTGCCGACTTCACACGGGCATGCTTGAAACTCCATTCAGTTCCAGGGACCCAGATCAGCCCACAGAACATTGTGCAGACTCAGGCCCAGCATTCCCAGGAGCGTAATCCAGGGAGGGGAGAAGAACCCAAACCAGCGTTCTGTGACAGCTTGGGGTTCCAGTGAGGGTGCTGGCAGGAACCTGGGGGCGAGGCTTGGCTCTTCATCTTGACTTGTCACTGTTCCTCCTGTCTCTCAGATTCTCACCTGTCAAGCATGTACCTCTCGGCATCCCGGGACAGGGTGGGGGATGAGGTGCTGGAATCCAGTGTGACCTGCCCCCCGCTCTCCCTGCAGCTTCCCCTGCGGCCCCCGCTCTCTCGAGACTGCCGGGACCTGCTGCAGCGGCTCCTGGAGCGGGACCCCAGCCGTCGCATCTCCTTCCAGGACTTCTTCACCCATCCCTGGGTGGACCTGGAGCACATGCCCAGTGGGGAGAGCCTGGCACGAGCAGTAAGCAAGCCAATGGGGATGGGCTGGGGTGAGGGCAGATTGGGGGTCTCGTCTACCCCTTTTGGTGGTGAATAGGTGGCTTGCCTCATGGGGCAGCACGTGGGCTCAGGGGACCTGCTCTTTTCCCTTCGTGGTGGGCATGCCTTCTGTTCTGCCCGTCCCCCAGACCGCCCTGGTGGTGCAGGCTGTGAAGAAGGACCAGGAGGGGGATGCTGTGGCCGCTTTATCTCTCTACTGCAAGGCTCTGGACTTCTTCGTACCTGCCCTGCACTGTGAGTGCCTGGAGTCCCCGAGTGCAGTGGGGGTGGCTCAGCCATAGTGCACTGGATGGATTCTAGAAGTAGCTCCCCTCCAGAATTTTGTGGGAGATGAGGTAGAGGGTGTATCTGGAACTTAGTGCTTTTGGAGATTCCAGATGGTTTGGTGTGGGGCAGCTCCCCCTGCCTCAGACTCCTCCTATGAACTCCCACTTTCTGCAGACGAGACGGATGCCCAGCGGAAGGAGGCAATTAAGGCAAAGGTGGGTGAGTGAGTCTCCTGGAGGAACCAGGTGAGGGGCCCGGGGACCGCAGGGACTGGCTTTCTTAGGACCGGGACTCCTGTCCCGGGAAGGAAGGGGTCAGGCCAGCCTCAGGTGACCCCTGACATTACAGCTTGGGACAGTCCCTGAGGACCTGGAGAGAGAACTTGGAGGTGGGTGCTGGCCAGGGAGGAAGGACGGGACAGCCCCGCCTCAGCCCCCTGTGCTCCTGCAGGTGGGGCAGTATGTGTCCCGGGCTGAGGAGCTCAAGGCCATCGTGTCCTCCTCTAATCGGGCCCTGCTGAGGCAGGGGGCCTCTGCCCGAGACCTGCTCAGAGGTAGGCCCCGCTCCTGACTGACCATCAGGCCCCCAGCAACTTCCCTCCAGCCTGCGGGGAGGCAGGTTGGCGTCGGCTCTCTGAGGCGGAAAAGCAGGCTGCTCCCCTCACCCTGAGCCTTTGCCCCTCATCCCAGAGATGGCCCGGGACAAACCGCGCCTCCTAACTGCCCTGGAAGTGGCTTCAGCTGCCATGGCCAAGGTTTGTCCCCAGCAGGAGGGCTTCAGGTGGGGCAGGAAGGCTCTAGGTCATGACCCTCAGTGACCCGGTGCCCCTGTGGCTGCAGGAGGAGGAAGCTGGTGGGGAGCAGGACGCCCTGGACCTATACCAGCGCAGCCTGGGGGAGCTGCTGCTGCTGCTGGCAGGTGAGGCCGCTGCCACCACATTCCCCAAACCCCTGCTGCCCTGCCCTCACCACAGCCCTCCCTCTCTTTGCAGCGGAGGCCCCAGGCCGGAGGCGGGAGCTGCTTCACACTGAGGTGCCCACTGGGGTTGGGAGGGTTGGGGCATTTTTTCTTCCCCTTTGACCCTGCTTCCTTCTGGGGGCACCTCCTCGGGCTCCCACGAGGAGTCTGACCTCACAGACCTGAGTAGTCGATGGCCCCTTGCACTCCACTGGGGCTCGGGTGCTCAGGTCAAGGCAGTGGGATAGGTAGGACCTAGGAATCCAGCAGCAGAAAGCTGGCTGAGCTGTTTGGTCAGGAAGGCTTCCTGGAGGAAGGGGCAGATAAAGTACTCGGGAGTTGTTCTGACAGGACAGAGGGTTCTGGAGAGCATAGGAGCGAGGAGCTCCCTCTGAGGGCACCTCCTCCCTCACACCCACAGGCATGTCTTCCCTTGGCAGGTTCAGAACCTCATGGCTCGAGCTGAGTACCTGAAGGAGCAGGTCAAGGTGGGCCTGGACCTGGGGTCCCGTCGGGGCGAGGATGTGGGTTCTGCTCCTCTGTCTGCGTCCTCTGCGTCCCACTCCCCCTGGGCGTGTCTGCTTCTCTGGGCTCCATCCAGAGGCCTCCATCTCTGTCTCTGCCCCTCACACATGGCTGCTCAGCGGCTGTGGGTGCGACTCCTGTACCTGCCCTGGCTGCCCCTCACCCCTGTGCTGCCTTTATCTTCCACAGCTGAAGGAGTCTTCCTGGGAACCCGAGACCTTGGATAAGGAGGGGCTGTCGGAGTCTGTTCGGAGCTGTGAGTTCTGCCCTGGGGTCCTGTCCTCCACCCAAGGCAGGGTGAGGGCTGGGGGCAGCCCTAGTTTCTGCCCCTTTAGCCAGATGACTGACAATGACCCTCCCCCCACCCCTCCACAGCTTGCACTCTTCAGTGACCCCAGAAGGATGACTGGACAGACCATGGGCCCCTGGAGGTGGAGGGTGCACTCCCCACGCTGATGCCCAGAATCCTGTGCCCTCTGCAACCTGGTGGAGCAGCCTTCCTGGGTGGGTGGTTCCGAGATCCCCCACACCTCTCTGGATACTCTCCAGCCCCAAAGGTTCTGACAGCCTGGGGGTGGGTGGCAAGTGTATATGTGCACGTGCTGGGAGCATTAGGCCTGCCTGGGGGCCGGTGGTGGTGGTGGTGGTGGTGGTGGGGCGGGCGCTGGGAGAAGAATTTCTTTCATGTGACTTTGGTTATTTGGTGCTTGCTGGGCCCTGAGCCTGTCAGATTGGGGGCATGAAGACTTCTGTTTCTGCTCTGAGAAGAGGGCGAGGGCAGCTGTGCCCGTACTTACCCCAGTCCTTCCTGGGAGCCCTGATTGCAACTCACCTACATCTTGCGCTGCTGGACTGAGCACTCAAAGACGACTCAGGGACCACCTACCCCACGGTTTGCACTCAGAACTCCCCAGTCTTCATGGGAGCTGACTCTTGCCCACCCTCTCAGTATTTTATTATAAGATAATCCTTTAAGCATGGAAGTACAATAATATACTTTGTTGTGGGTGGCAAATTGGAGAAACCCATGCCTTGTTTCTGCTCTGGCCCAGGAGGCCCCAGGGAGGGGAGGAGTCCTCAGTCCTCATTCCTGCTGCCTCCATCCCTGTTTGGGGAACACCCCCTACTTGCTGAAGAGCTGGTCCTGGCCTGGGAGCGGGAGGCATGGGGACTGCTGAAGCCCTCAGGCTTCAGGGACCTGGCAGCCCAGGAAACCTGCCTCCAGGTCTGACCTGGCTACCACCCCAGTGTGTGACCGGGCAGGTGCCTTCCCCTTTCTGGGCCCGAGTTTTCCCAGCTCTCCAACGGGGTTGCTAATACCTCCTCAGCCCCCCATGTGGGCTTTTAGGAGGACAAAGTAACTTGTACCTGGAGAAGATTGTACACACCTGGAGTTGTTTGGGGTGTTCTTTTTGAAACTCAGGGTGTTGGTGATTTCTGACTCCTCCGCCCTTCAGCGCCTCCTTGGGGCAAGTCATCTGTGCCCTGCCAGAGGCCTGTGTGAAAAATGTCATTTATTGTTTCTCTATTAAATTATTTTCTGAATTTGTGTTTCTTTTCTTGCCCTGGAAGAAAAGAAGGGAGCAGGTCAAGGTGGGCTGCCCCTGTTTCCAGGCTAGTGCTATAGGGGCCCCAGGAAAACCTGGGTAACCTGAGGGCTGGGGGAGGCCACAGGGCGCTGGGGGGAGGGAGCCACATCTGCCTCCTGCTCTGAACCCCCAAGGGACCCAGGAGAGTCAGGCTGACCAGCCACTGTTTCTTCCCACCACTGAGGGGACTAGTGGGGAGGGGGCAGGCACAGGCCTGGGTGCCGGTCAAGGCCCTTCGTCTGCATCTGGAGAAGGGCGTCCTCCACTGCAGGTGTCTAGTCCTGTAAACCTGTGCTTTGCACTGCACGCTGCCTTTACCAGATGGCCCCTGGCCTCCCACCCTCTTCCCTTGGGCCGGTGAGTGAGCAGGAAGCTGGACTGTGGAAAAGGGTGTTTTGGGTGTCCTGTGCTCATATCCAGCCTTGCAGGAGCCCCCAAAGCTGGGGTCATTTCCAGCAGTCCTTTATCCCCTTCCCCGAGGTCCTGGTCTGAACAGCACTTGGGAGCATCTTTGGGGACTTAAGGCAGGGGGAGCCCTTCCCCAGGCAGCCACCAAGGCAGCAGCTCTAGTGGAAATCAGATACCACCAAGACACTCAGCCTTCCCGCCTACATTAAAGGGTTCCCTGCACAGGGAGGGAGGGAACTCTTCCCTGAAGTTTCTCACCTGGCCATCCGGGGACAGGCTAGAGCAGTGGTTCAGAGGGCAGGAGACAGGGCTAAATTCCTGGCTGTGTCACTTGGCCAAGAGACCCACTGACTGGCCCATTCCTTAGTAAAACACGGATGAAGTGAAGTGCCCCTTGGGATTTTAAGGATGTGCACGAGCCTGGCACACAGAATTTAATAAAATGTTATTTTCAGATGTAGGGACAGAAATGTACTCAGATTACCTCTGGAAGGGGCTGAACAAAAAAGCCTCAATGAGTAAAGGAGGGAAAGGAAGGAGGCGAATGAGTGGAGCCAGTTGTGGGGATGGAGAAGATCGGATGGGAGGGAGAGGGGAAATAGGAAAGATTGACTTACGGTGATGGGATGGAGGGATTGGCTCACAAACCCCCATTGTTTGTGATACCCGCATTGGCTGCCTGGGAACAAAGGCCTGAAATCCTTACACACACAGATGTGGAGTGGAGTGGGACCGTGCGGGGCAGGATTGGGCTCTCTGGGCAGTGTTTTGGTGGTCTCCAGGCTGGTCCCGTGTCTGAGCTACATGCCAAGGAGGGAAGCAGCCCAGCTAGAGGGCTAGAGTTAGAGGAGGAGGTGGGACCTGCTCTCTAGGGCTCTCTTCAAACGGCAGAGACCTATGGGAAATATGCTAATCTGTTTGTTTGTTTTTAATGTATTTTTTCCTCTTAGGTGTGGGAGTTGTTTCTACTGCTCACCTTTAACACTGTGAAAGTGCCCAGAGTGGGGCAGGCAGCCTCCAGCATCTGGGTGCTTCACCCTGTCCGCCCACCTCCACTCAGTCCCCCAAGCTCAGAGCTAGCATTGGGCCAAGCTGGGGAAGCACCTGGGCCTGGGATCCTCTGTTCCCAAGGGGTAGCGCTGGGAGCAGTGAAGAGGCCTCCTGGAGCCGACTGAGGGACCCAGGGGTCCCTGTGTCCAGCCTGCCCCTTCTTTTGCTAACTGGGGAGATGTGAAAGGTCATCGAACCTCAGTTCTTGCAGGAGGTCATCTATGGGGGCTCTTGTCCCCAGAGGTCGCTGCTGTCCCAGCCCTCCCTGAAAGGGACATGGCCCAACCCTGAGGCTAGGGCATGAGGCGGGGATGTTAGTGACCAGAGTAACTAACACCCACACCTATCCACTCAAAATCCCACAGATACACAAACAGACACTATCAGGTCACAGACCTCAGACACATACAAAAACACCAAAAGCCACTTCCAGGTTCACAGACCCACGCTAACCCCACTTAGACTTCCACTCATGCTCAATACATGCGTGCACAGTCCTGCTGAGTTAAGGGCTGAGGCAGCCTCAACCTCGCTGCTCCCCGGACCCAGCCCATCCTGGCCTCTGCTCTCCTGGAGCCTCACATGGATTCTGGGAACAGCTATGCCTGGTGGGCACTGGGCTGGAGGCAGAGCAGCAGGCTCTGTGGCTCCCTTCCAGTCCCCTCACATGTGACTCCCCACCCCCAAGCAGCCTCGGGCTCAGCTGGGTCAATAGGCACTGCCAGCAGCTCTGGCTCAGCAAATGTTCCCCCAGATGTCCCCAGCTCACTGGGGGGCCTCCGGTATCTGAGGAGGGACCATCTGACCACGACAAGCAGGGGGAGCCTCCCAACTCCAGAGCATGTCACCACCCTTCCCAACTCCTCCCTGGGGACAAACTGGCCTCAGGAGAGTCACTTGAGATCTGCACCCCTTTCCCTCTGGGAACTAGGCTTGAGCTGTCTGGGTGTGTGGCTGGAAGGAGACTTGAGCCTGCAGGGGCCAGGGCTTGCCTCCAATCTCCCTGAAATCGCCATATTATGGGAGAACCTGAGGGTGGGGGTGAGGGGAGCAGGAGTCCATCTTTGCTGTCCCTCTCTTCCTGAAAGAGTGGGGGGGGGCTGGAGGGGCTGTCTCACCACCTTTCAACATTTCCTGTATCCTCAGACTGCCTGCAAGTGAGAAGGACAAAAGAAGAACTGGAGGAAGAGAGGGAGAGAGCCTAGGAAATGAATGCCTTGCTCTAAATTATGGGGCCTTAATGGTGGGATTTTAATCACTGTGGAAAGGGAAGTTCTGGTGACAAGTGGCTTTCTTTGTGGCCCTCACATCATACCAGGTGGGTGGATCAGTGATTATTTGAATAAGTGGGAGTAGAAACAGGATGGGAAGAGAAGAGTCATCACCAGACAGGCCTGAGGGCCTGGGAGTGGGGCAGGTGCAGAGGAGGCTCCAGCTAGTCCAGGCCAGCCCCCAGCTGAGGGCATGGGAGCCGGACGGGTATGAGCCAAGAAGGAGGCAGTGGGTGTAGGGGACAGAGCTGAAGGGGACATGGACTGACAGAGGGGCCAGAGAACAGGGGAAGAAAGAGTGGACGGAAGCAGGGCAAGGCTGGCAGAGCCGGGGACCCCTCAACCCACCTTCCTTGCTCATCTCTGCCTGAGCCCCCGAGTGGGCTCCTGCTGCCCTCCAATTCCAGGGGCACGCAGACAGGTCAGGGCTTCATGGGGTTCCCAGGCCGTGAGGAGGAAACCAGTGTGGGGCCTCAGCCCCCTCCCACTCCCTGCCCCCAGGCCCCAGCCATCCTGTTTTGTGAGGGTGCCACGAGTGCTCATCCCAGACTCCCTGCAGCCGTCTCCCTGCCTCTTTTGTTTTCGGTCCTGCAAACCACTGAGGGGGAAAGGGGTCTGTCTGATTCTGTTAGGCAAGAGGCCCCTGGAGGGTGGAGTGCTGACATGGGCCTTGCTGCTGACGCTCGGAGGAGGCCCATGACCCCCACCCCTACAGTCTGGGGCCCCAATTTGGGTCTCCTCCAGCTCCATAAAGGTCAGGAGGGGTTTTTGATCAGTGAGGGCCCGGGGACAGCCCAAGGGACACTCAAGAAGAACCCAGTGTGACAGCGGCGCAGCACTGCCCTTATCCTGGGCCTGTCCTTCCCTGCCCTCACCCTCCTAATTCCTCATCCTCTCTTTCTCTTCTCCCTTCTGCCTGACTATCCACACATCACCTATCACACAGGTGTTATGTGCCACGTTCTTATTTTATAAAGGAGGCCTAATGGAAACTTTGCCCTTGAAACCAAACCCTCAGAGGGCCTTTCCACCTGTAAATCTTGGCTGGCTTCCCAACAAGGCGATGCTGGGTGGGCATGTGGTGCTGGCCTGCGGCACGTTGTTCCTGCTCAGGCCCTGGGGAGCCTGCTTGTGGAGCCTCCTGGTTAGTTTCCTGGACCCCTCCCCCCAATAGGTGAGCAGGATGAGATTTGGGTCCTTCAGTTTTTTTAAAGAATGAGTTACCATTTATTGATATGGCCTATCCTGTGCCAAGGGCTTTACAAGTAAATGGTCACCCTTTGAAACATGTATTATTATTTTTTTGTGGGGGGCTTTTTTATTTCACAGGGGTGAAAACAGGCTCAGAGAAAGAAAGGGACCTGCTCAAATTCACACAGCAGCACCAGGGCTAGAACACAGTTGCCTGCCTTCTTTTTGTCACACCTTCCATCTCCAAAGTGAGGAGGGGGTATAGGCACAGGTACCAGTGACAGCTGCGGATGAGCCCTAACCCCTCCTGTGGTCTCAGGTAATACCCCAGAGGCCCTGCCGTCCAGCTGACTGCTGCCTCCTCCTCAAAGCCCAGATCTATTTCACCTGGCCCCAGGCTGGACCTGGTGTGTGGTCAATGTGGGGACCCCATGCTCACCCAGGGCCCTGAAAGGGTAGAGCTTGACCATCTTATAGGGGCTGGTGCTCCTATGAAGCGGTGGGTGAGGAGGTAGAGGACACCCTTCCAAGGGCAGGGTTGGGGGGCTGTGAATAAGACTCCTGGAGGTCAGTAAGAAATGGGGGGACAGACAGGTCATTTGGAGCTTTTATTTTTCACTGAGCTGAGACAGGAGATCCAGCTATGGAATCCAAGAGAGTTCTACAGGAACAAAACAGAAATTGGCTGGGTCCTGGGCCCAGAGGATGCCGGGAGCCACCTGGGCTACTGTTGGGTGCCAGCTTCATCTTTGGCACTTGGTCTCTCGCACAGCATCGCTCAGCTCCGAAGAACCAGAGCCCACAGTGGCAGCTACTTGAGGCTATGGCTGCAGCTGCTGTCTTGCCCAAAGAGTGGTGTGGGATTGACTCCAAGGGGCCAGGGAGGCCAAGCTAGAATGAATCTCAGAAACCACCCCATCCATCCCCATTTTATAGATGATAAGCAGTATGTTTCAAGGAGAATAAATGTGTAGACTCAAACTTAGGCCTCCTGTCTGCGGGGGGTGTCTGCCTGAAGCCTCTATGCATATCTGAGTGTTGGTGTCTAGAGGGGTTAGGCATGGGGTGGGGGGGGGGGTTGGCCTGTGCCTGTGTGTCTGTGTGTGCCAGGATGCCTCTGTGCTCTATGCTTCTGCATATGCCAAGGTCTCTGTGTCCCTCTGTGTCTCTCTATGGGTGCTTCTATGTGCAGGAATTTGGGACCATGGTTAGACAAGGTAGGGCCTATTCCTACAATCTTGGGAGGCTTCCCCAGGCTAGGGTGAGTCCAGAGGCGGAGGAGTGGGGACTTTGCTCCCAGTGGGGAGGGAGAGACCAGAAGGCAGGCTGGGGCCTGGAGCTAGCCTGGGGCAGGGGAAACAAAGCCACGGTGGGGAAAGGGTTCATGGAAGTTGAGACCTAGCTCCTGTGGGCCTAGCCCTCTGATCACTCCAGGGGGCTACCCCAGGGGGAGTAGTCACATGATATGGCACTTCTCAGCTGATTGCTTGAGATCCCCCAGTGTGGCCTGGGTCTTGTCCTTCAGTGAGCCAAGGTCCAAGCCAGGGAGGCCAGCCAGCTGCCCGAGGACTGAGACCCGCTCCTCCTCCTCCTCTGTGTCCTCCTCAATCATCTTCGCCAGCTCCCGGGGCAGCTCCATGTCTCCACCTGCCATCTGGATCTGGCTCTCATCTGTCTCGTTCTGAAGGGAAGCGGGAAGGGGTGGGTGGGGTTGGAGGTGGGAACCCCGAGCTGAGGGGCAGGGAGGAGACCTGCGCCGGGTTCCAGGTCCCTAGATTCTTCTTCTTTTTTTTTTTTAATTGGGGAATTGGGGGGAGGGGCACAGTGTTGGGGAATTGGGGAGGGGGACTGGCCAAGTTGTTGTTCTTCAATCTTAGTTTTGGAGGGCACCAGTTGCCATCTGGCTGCCCGTTGGCAGCTCGTGGCCTCTAAGCTCAAGGTGCTGTGTTCCATCTTAGTTGCGGGTGGGCGTAGCCACCATCCCATGCGGGAGTCGAACCAGCAGCCTTGTTGTTAAGAGCGCGCTCTATCCACTAAGCCATCTGGGTGGCAGCTCAGTTCAAGGTGCCGAGTTCAGTCTTAGTTGCGGGCAGGCATAGCCCACCATCAAACAGGCAGTCTTGTTGTTAGGAGCACGTGCTCTCACCAGCTGAGCCATCCTGCCACTTGTTGGCAGCTCAACGGCAGCTCAGCTCGGGCGCAGTGTCACTGGCCCATGTGGGAATCGAACCAGCAGCCCTGGTGCTCTTAAGCTAACTCTTAACCAACTGAGCCACTCATTTGGCCCTGGGCCCCTAGATTCTTGAGCCCCATGTTCCAGTGAGCTCATCCCCCACCCCCACATCCAAGGGTCATGCTTTTGAGACTTGAACATGGAGACCTTGCATTTTATACCACCTTACTTCACTCTGAGATACTGAAGGTAAGATACTAGCGGGAGTCAAACTGTTACCATATGTTAAGTAAGTAACTATTTGGTATGAAGGATGGTACCAATAATAGTGATGTGTATCGTTCCTCAAATACCCATTATAGGGCTGACATTGAGCTGGGTGCTCTCTTTTGGGAGAAAACAGTGTGTTTTTCCAGGACCCATCAGCTCCAAGTCAAGTAGTTGTTTCAATCTAGTTGTGGAGAGCACGTCTCAGTGGCCCATGTGGGGATCGAACCAGCACCATTGGTGTTAAGAACACTGCTCTCTAACCAACTGAGCCAACTGGCTGCCCCTCAGCTGGATGTTCTTAATTCTCATAATGACCCTGTGAGGCAGGTATTGTTTTCCTCATTTTACAAATAAGGAAATTGAGACTCGGATAATTTAAGTAAGTAACTTGCCTGATGTCATACAACTAGGATGTGGGAGAGCTAGATTTAAACCTATGTCTCTGATTCCAATATCTGTGCTCTCTCTGCAAGGCACCTACTGATTGTCCTCACACTTCCATATCCCTTTGGGGGCCCTGGGGCTTTCCACTTTCTGTCCTACTCAGTTACAGCCAAGTCTTCCCTCTTCTACTGGGCTCAGAGTTCCCTGATGGCAGGAGTCTCTTATATGCTTAATGCAAGCATTTGAGGAATAACTCCATTCCTAGCTGGGTTTAACTGCCACTTCCCAGAAAAGCAGGCTTTCTGGACTGGTTCTCCCTTTGAGAGACTTCCAAAAGACTGGTTGGTTCCCTGTTGGGAGTCAGAGGCAGCCAGAGGTTCCAGAAATATTTACTGAATGAGTGAATGTGATGATCGCATATCTGATCTTCCAATTCAAATGGAAGATCAAGGTTGGTGTGCTATAATCATAGTTCTGGGCTCTGGGAGTGGCTTGTGCCTCAGTTCTCTCCTTAGGCAACAGGCGTAAAACACTTCCAGCCCATCTGGTGCTGCAGTGCAGAGGGATGATATCCTCCTGGCTGCTGGGACAACCAAGGGGGTATTGTGCTTTTTGCAGACAGACCCACACCCTGAAGGCAGCCAGGGATCCTGGAGTAAGCAGGCTCAGCATTCACAGCTTGAACTCTATCACTCACCAGCTGTATGACCTTAGCCAAGTCCCTCAGTTTCCTTATCTGGAGATGTGGATGATAACTACCTGGCAGAATCACTGAGGGGTTAGGTAAGGGTGCGAAGGTCAAGTGCACCTGGCACACAGAGGGTGCTGCCTTTTCCCCCACCCTGCCCTCCGGGGATGTTCAGAAGCCCCAAGAGCACTCACCCCTGAGGTAAAATCTACTGCCTTCTAACTCTTCATCTGCCAGACCTGACTCCAGTTGGGGGAGTATGGGCTGGAGGACAGAAGGACCTGGGCTGACTCCAGAAACACAAACCTCTCAGCCTCCTGGAGGACTGGGCTACCCCTCAGTGCCAAGAGGTAGTCCTGGGTGTGCTCCAGTTAACCGTGAATGAATGAACGAGTGACAGAACCAAGGCTCTAACCAAGCTCTCCATGAGTCTAGGAGCTTAAAGTCGCAGCAAAGGAGTCCGGAGCTGGGAGCTCAGGGTCCCGGATGCGCCTTGCAGCCTCGGCTCCTAAGCTTACCTTGGGCAGCCGGTATTTGTCTCGGAAGTGGCTCCGCAGTGTCGCCCGCTCTGCTTTTCTCTGTGTGAACTGCGCGTCCCGCTCCATCCTGCGGAGGCACCCAGGGGTGGAGGGGGGGTGGGGGGGTTGAGTCATTGCCAGGACTGAGGGGATGGGCAGGAGGGTCTTCGTGTCAGGACAGCGACTGCATCTCTCCCGCCCCCAGCCTGTGTGTCAGGAGGGTGCTCGGAGCTGGTGGGTTAGTCTGCACCCTCTACCCTCATTACTGCGCCTTTTCTCATCTCCGCACCTGCCTCTGGGTGGAGCTTATAGGTGGAGGTGGGGGATGGGGTGGGTCATACTGTCTGACTCTCCCTGCAGATCCTAATATATGTCCCTCTTGGCCTCAAACTCCATCTGTCTTTTCCCTCCTGACAGGTTGTGTCGAGTGGGGCAAAGTATTTGAAACAGGCTTGAGTTCGTGTCCTGGCTCCATTACCACTTTTGGTAAGTCTTTGGGTAACAGCCTTCCTCTTTTGTAAAATGGATATAAGATTTTTCAACTCACAAAAGTTATCAGGATTAAGTGAAACAATAATAGCTAACGTTTAATGATTTACCGTGTCAGGCACTGTGCTAAGCAGTTTATACGCATTAAGTAATTTAATCTACATAAACACATAAGGCATGTTTTATGATTACATCCCCATTTTACAGATGAGGAAACCGAGGCACAGAAAGGTTAAATAACTTGTCTAAATTCATCCAGTTAAAAAGAAGCAAAGCCAGGATCTGACCCAAGCAGCTATGGAGGCCGGCTCCTAACTTCACTCCAGGTGCCAATCTGTCCCAGCATTGTCCGCACACAAGTGGCCTCAATAGCTATAAGTGCCCCGATCTCAGGGTCTGTCTCCGTGACTCTGAGCACCCCCTCAGCTGCAACGCTTTTCTCAGATCCTCAAGCTCAGAGGCCTGGGACCAGATCGGATTAAAGGATTACTTGTTTCAGTCGAAACTTGTTTCAGGCACGTGCCCCCACCCCATCCCAGGCTCCATCGCCCCTGCCCCCACCTTCTCTGGGCCCCGATTCGAAGCTGGGGTGGGGTCCTGGGTTTGAGGTGGGGTGGCTCTGGGGGCAGCCTAGAGGGCACATTCCAGTCTCTTACAGAGTCTAGAAAAGTAGGGGAGGGGCTCGAGGTCTGAGACTTTCCTAGGGGTGGGCCAGGCGGTTGGGGGATGGGGGTGGGGGAGAGGGTCGTTGGAGCCGGGAAGGGTTCCCACTCACTTCTCTTCTACCAGTTGCTTCTGATATTCCTCATACTCCTCTCGGCTCATGCCCTGAGCTTCGGCCGCCGACTTGTCCCCGTCCCCCTTGTCCTCGCCGCCCCCCAGGCTCCCAGTGAGGTTCTTCAGCCGACTCCCCACCATGGTCTTCACCATGAACGCCATGGTCTTCACTGGCCCGGGCACCAGGCGCGATTACCACGCGCCGGGCACTAGGCACGTCCGCCTCTACTTCAGCACTAGGTCTTGCGGACAGCTCCCGCCGCGGGCCAGCACCCCACGCTCTGCGGCGCCCGCAGCCAGCCCCTGCCCGGGCCCGCCCCCACCTCCTAAACCCCTCCTCACCAGGGGCGGGGGCATTCACGGGGCTGAGGCAGCTGTACCACGTGCCGGCTCCGCACTCCCGCCTCCCCCACGTGCCTCCTTCCACGCCAAGCTGTGCCGGGCACTGCTGACAACGGATTAGGGCCTTAGGGGGTGGGGTCTCTCCAGAGCGGAATGGGCTGCGCTGATACGCACTCTGGAACCCTGCTCCCTACTCTCCCACCACTCCCTCCTCACCCCAGTAGCTGATAGCCAGAATTTCAGCTAGGAATTTAGAGAAGCAGCGAGGGGCAAAGATCTAGCCCTAGGCCCTACCCCATCCTTCTCTCCAACCTGCTGCCCAGCAGCTGCGAAAAAAATCTTGACGCTCAAAAAGGGAGGGAGACCAAAAGGGAGGGGAGGGGCGAAATCCCAATTATGGCCCCCTAGGTTGCCTCAGAGTTCTCAGTCCTGCCTGCCCACTGCTGAAGGGAGTGGGGAGAAAGAGGGGGAGGAGGAGGGGGAGAGAGAGAGAGAGAGAGAGAGAGAGATTAATGGTGATGCTGGCTGGGCTGGGCTGGACTGGGAAGGGTACCTGGAGACACCTCTCCTAGTTCTGGTGAATTTTGGAACAGAATTATACACAGTGTGGTTCCCTCTCCCTGCATAGTCCAGGGCTCAAGGTCTGTGAGGTATTGCATGTTTTGGCAGTCAAGCCAGCCCTTGGCCTCCTTGCCTGCTTGAAGTCCACTCCCAGCTACCTCTCCAGAGGAGGTAGAAGCCTTTAGAAGGATTAAGGCAAACTTGGAAGATACATGAGCATATGAAAACATGGGAAGAGGGAAATCACCTTTAATAAGGTTGGAGTTCCCCCCAAAGCTGAGGTGTGGGTAGGAGCTGGGCACCCAGAGGGGTAGGATACTGGCCTAGCCCTCCACCCCCCAGACACCATCTACTTCCCAGTGACGAAAAGTAGACACTCCTTCAGGGCTGTGAGGTAGGTCGTGCATACATGCTGGGGGAGAGGGGCTGCCTCCTCAGGGCCCCCAGGGCCCCCAGGGCCCGAGGGATGCATGGGGAGGACTCAGGGGAAGGCTGTCAGAGTGCAGGTAGTCCTGAAGGCTCTTGTCCAGCTCCTGCTTGCTGCCAGAGGGAGGAGAAGACCGTGACTTGGGCCTCTACTTGTCTGGGCTTATGAGACCAGGCTCACTACACTTACACTCACTGCACCACAGCCTCCCCTGCTCTGGGAGCTTCTATGGCTCCCTTGGCTTGCCCCACCAGGACCACACTTTCCGCCTGGCATTCAAGGCCTGTCCAGGTGGCTCCAGCCTTATGGCCACCTCTGTACTCCAATGTTACATATAAACCTGTCATCAATCCACCTCGTACCTTTGCTGTTCTCCTCACCTGGAGGTCATCCCCTTTCCTACTGTGCTTTCAAAACTCAGCACATTTCACTGCTCCTCGGGACCACCCTTAACCCATGTTGCTTCTTCTTGTCTTGAAATTTCATCCACAGGAACTGTCAGTTCCATTTCTGAGCTCTTTAGCACACCCTACATCTCTGAAGGTTTCCCTCATTCAACAAATACCCACCAAGCAGAAAGTGACCTCTCCCCAACCTTTGTGATTCTCTTTGCCCATTTTCACAAACTGGTCCCACCCTTTGCTCTGACAGTTGAACTTGCCACGTTTTCTCCTAAACATTGTGTTTCTTTCATGCTTCCATGCCTTTTCTCATATTGTTCCCTCTGTATTTATGCCTTTGCTTATCTTGTCAGGTTGGAAAACTAGATGCCTTGATGACCCATAGGTGCCTCCCTGACCTCCCCAAGCTGGGTCGAGTGCTTTTTCCTGTATTTGTATAGCTCCTGAGCGTCCTGCCATCATGGCATTGACCACATAGGGTGTGACTATTAGGTACTTGTCAGTTTCTCATGCTAGAGAGTGAGTTCTGTGAGGGCAGGACTCAGATGGGACCAACAGCTGAGGACCTATTGAAAAAGATGGGTCCTAGTCTGGACACTGCTCATTGCCAGCTGGGGGAGCAGGCAGGTCCTGGGCCTCAGTGCCCCCTCTCTCAAATCAAATGGCTATATCCCAAACCAAACCAGGTAGGTGTAGAAGGCCCACCTGAAGTGCGTATAGCAGAAGAAGCCCACAGTCTGGATGCAGAGGAAGACCAGGAAGATTCAGGGCTGCAGGCATGAGAAGGCCCCTGGGCACTGGCCAGGTGTACAGGGGTCCTTGGCTGCCACTTTCTGAAATGCGAAGTTCTAAGGTCAGCTTCTTACCCAGAAGGAGGGAGGGGATCTGGAATCTGGGCCAATGTGGGCTCTGTTTCCCTCTCCCAGGCTTGGGGCACCCTGGTTCTCATCCAGGGGACTTGGAATAGGGGCAGAGCACAAAGCTGCTTCCCCCCCCACTCCAGCTCCCATGGCTCCATCTGTGGGAATAGCTGGAAAGGCCTGGTGCCTGGGATCATCAGGGGGCTGAAGGTTCTTGAGGTGAGAGAAGGAGAAATACAGAGCAAAAGACAGGGTAATGGTGAAGGCAAGGGAAAGAACAAGACAGGGCAGGGCTATGGGAAAGAGCAGGCTGCTCTAAGTGAGCTGGGGCACAACCCACTCCCATTTCTCTTCTAGTCATTAAGAGAGTTGGACCAAGTGGTCTCCAGGGCCCGGCTGGCACTGAGAGTCTGTGGGACTCTCCAGAAAGCAGGGAGAAGATGAGGTCTGTGTCCCCGTATGCACGTGTGCATACACACACAGATACACAGGTGTGTCACACACAGATACAAAGGTGTGCCTGTCAGGTGTCCCAAGGCAGATGGGCTAAGACAGGAGGGCCTGGGGCTGCAGAAGTGTTGGAAGAAGGGGGCTGAGCCCGGATCTCAGGGATGGAACCCCATGCTGTTCCGTCCTTCCCCCCTCACCTCCAGGTAGAAGACCTGGGCCCTTGAGGCCATGTAAGCAGCTGCATCCCTGGTAGGGAATGGAAACCAAGGGAGAGGACTCATTACCCCTTCTGGTGGCACTCAAACCATTTAACCATTTCTCATAATCTCTGGAGGTAGCACCTGGGTGGAGAACAGGCACCATCCACAAGGCCCCTTCTTGAGAGCTGTTCTTACCCCAAACCTTCCTTGATTCTGAGACAGCTTTAGCTCAGAGAAGGGTGTCCCTAAAGCTGTCTGTCTCAACCTCAGGCTCCCTGGGCTCTGCCTTCCATCCCCAGCCCCCAGGGGATTTAGCTCTCCTCTCTCATTCCATCTTCCCACCCCCAGCCACAGCATCGAGCCTGAAGTCCCCTCTTCCCCGGCATCGAGGTGACCCCCTGCCTCCAGGGCTCTATGAGTAACTCCAGAGACCGGGCCTAGAGTGGGACGCTGGGGGTTAAAGGAGGTCAGGGACCCCCGACCACCACCAGGCCTGGTCTTGGTTGTGTTCTCTCCAAGAACCCGCTCAAAATGCCCCCTCCTTCTAGGAACTGTCCCCGCAGCAAGGCTCAGATTTACTAACCTTTCCTGGGGCGGGAATGTTAGGTGGGGACCCTCACGCAGGACTCCTCCCAGGGAAAGTTGCTTTTAAACTGGGGCTTTCAAAACTTTAAACTTGATTCAATTAAATTCAGGTCAACTCAATAAACCTAACTGCCCCCAGCCCCTCCCTATGTGCCAGGCTTTGCCAGGCTTTGTGCTGGGTGCTCAGGGAATCAAAGGCTAATAGAGGAACTCCAGGCAGAGAAGCAAGCTGGAGGAGTAGGGCTCCCCCCCACACCCCACCCCGTGACCCCTTCTCACCCTGTGCCCTCACCTCATCTCTTGCAGTGCTGGAGCAGAGTCTGCTGTCCACAGAGCAGGGTGCTGACCTTGGCAGAGTCCTGCAAGAAAGCCAGCCTCTTCTCTAGGGCCTAGGGCACGGCCTCTCTGCTCAGAGTCCACCTTCCCCAGGGCACTGCAGCCCTCTTCCTTCTAGAGCCCTTACTTACCAGATTATCTGGCCCTTCTCATTATGGACATGGAGTTTATCTGACCTCTGTCCATGTCAGCTTCTGGATTCCCCCTCCTCTCCAATCCCTCTCCTTGAGGGTGGTTCCCCCCAACAATGGCCACTCCTGGGCTTTCTCAGAAGCCCTTTACTTCCCAGAAGTGTTTCTGCCCCTGAAAGAGGCAGAGGCCCAGTCCAGTCCCCTCCTCTCCACTTGCCCCAGGGCACAGCCCAAGCTGCCGCCAGTGCCTGTCAACTCCCAGTGCTTGGGCCCCAGTCTTGCTGAGTGACCTGGAGAGGTGGCCATCCCTCTCTGGGGTGGATAGAATCTGGCAGGAGATGTCCTGGGCCTGGATGTAGGACCAGAGGGGCCTAGCGTGACGTGCCTGCCCTCTTCCCCTCTCCAGCTGCCCAGTCTCAGCTGCTCTGGCCTGAGGACACAAGATTCAAACCTCAAGCTGCCAGAGACCAGCGAAGCCCGCAGGAGCTGCTGGCCTCTTCTGCCCAGCATCTAACATCTTGACTGAGTTCAACGCTCAGGCCCTGGATGGGCATGCCAAGGGCCTGACTCCCTGGGGAGAAGCCGGAACGGCAGTGGAGATGAAATGACGATTCTAGAGCATCTGAGCATGAACAAGCCGTATGTGACTCAAGTCATACGTGGAGCTCCATGCACCCCGTCTATTTTTGTCACTTGTCTACAGACCTACATCCAAATACCTGGCATCCCCTCTCCCAGCCACAGCTGGGTGGCTCCTTGGGCAGACCTACCTACCTGCACACTCTCCTGCCTGGCAGATCCAACACATCCTTTGCATGGCACCCCTGCAGCATGGCACCCCTGCCTTCCTTTCCCTCCAGACCTTGGGGGACAGTAGTTCCCAAGTATAGTGCTTTGTCCCCTTTCTGAACACAGGGAGCCCACTGGTGCCATGGGACCCGGTGTGTAGGGAGCTTAGCTTCTCCAGGCCTGCATGGATGTTTGAGGGGCCACTCACCCAGGTACCCTCAAGCCCAGCCTTGCCTGGGGACCCCCGCTGCTTCTTCCATTGCCTCTCAGCCTGGGCCAGCTGCTCGAAGAGACCCTGGAGCGCCTGCAGGATCTGGCTGTGTCTGCCCAGTGTCTCCTCCAAGCCAAGGATCCTTTCCCCTGGGGGTTGGGGGCAGAGCTGGGACAGCCAGCCAGTGGGGGTGGGACAACAGGTCCTGTCTCTGGGGGCTTCTTGGAGAGGGGTCCAGGAAGGCATGGCTTCTGCTTCCAAGAGTCTCCCCTGGAAAGATGTGTTTGGGTGGTGCCGTGGGGACAGGACAGAGCAGGGGCCTGCTTAGATATGGCTTCTACCTCCCATCTGTTAAAGGACTCCTGAATCGAAGGGAAGAGGGTCCTGTGATACTCGGATGGGCCCCTGCCCCACCTGCCTGCCCTCTGGGCCCCTACCCTCTTCCTGGTCTTTGGAGCTCAGCTTTGGAATCAGGTCCTCCCTGGTGCCCAGGGCTAGCTTTGCCCGCAGTCCTTCCAGCTGTCTCACCAGGCAGAGCTTCTCCATCTCCAGGAAGGGCTGCAGGGGAGCCTGGAGGAGAAAGACAAAAATTAGGGCCTGAAACCTGTGGGAGATCCGGGGCTGAGGGCATCCCACAGGGTTCCCCACAAGCCCAGTCCGTCTCTCTGGCCAAACGTTCACCCAGCCAGGGAAGAGCCCTGCTTCTCCCCCAGCTCAGCCACCAGACCCTGCCATTCCTGGGCTGAGCCTTGCTCCACTGCCGCTCTCCACACCTTTCTGTCCCTCTGGGGTCTAAACCTCAGCAGCTCCCTCAGGCCTCAGGCCTTTGTGCATGCCTGTTGCATTATAGCCGATTCCGTTACCACCCCCCTGCATTAGCCTCTGACCCATTAG